TTGTCTTTTTCTGACTTTACCAGTGACCACTGCTAGTAGCGAAGGAAGCTTTTAAAGATGAAATTTTTACAAATATATCTTCTCTGATTCTCTGATCAAGAAAGGCTCTCCGATTGAAGCTTTTTAGGCATGGAAAAGAATGATTTTCTATGATCGACCGTAAAATATTACCCATCACTAACTATAAAACTAATTCGTAATTAATTAATTAAAAATTAATTAATTAATTAAAAAATTAATTCGTAATGTCTTCACATCGTAAATTAGATATAAAACCATTACAAAAATAATTATCATTAAATTCAATCAATCGCGAATATATTATTTATTAATTCATCGAAATATAATGTAATAAGTTAATAAATTAAGATATAAAATTATTAAAATATAAATTAACACATAATATAGTAGCAATTGTATTTTGATGATAATTAATTCGCAAATTATTAAACACGTTCTTTAGAAACGTAATATAACTTCACATCTCATCTCTACTTTTCTCCGTATCATAGCGTTGAAATGTGCATGCATATATGAAAAACACACCGAATAAGATCAACCGTTCGAATAATATCGAACACACACACACACACACACACACACACACACACACACACACACACACACATACACGCACACACACACACAAGCCCTTAAAAGCCCACTTAAGCTCACATTCTAGCACACTTATGCATCATACCCAAAACCTTAAAACAATTCTTTCATATAATGTATAGGTATACATTAAATTTTGGAAGCCAAACATGTGTTTTCATTATTACAAGTTCATTTGATGTAATTCAATGGAGCTTGATTTTGATTAATTCTTTTCTAGTTGCAAAATTAAATTATTAAAAATAATTTCTTTTAATGAATGAATTTGTTTGATGAAAGTGGGTTATGCTAATTAAATTTCTTTTAAATCACAACCAGTTTTTATAATTTTGATAAATTTTACTTCAATTTTAACTTTTCGATTCTTGAAAAATCTTGAAATTCTACTCAACAGAGCAACCATTCAACAACAATCACGTAATGGCTTTCTATCAAATTCTTTCAGATATTACTCCTGCCTTGTTCCTCCACTGGTGATGACGACGATCCTCATCAACATCATCTACAACAACAACAGCAACATCAACAACAAAATCAGCAACATCAACCACCACAACATCAACTACATCAACATCCACATTCAGTCAAAAACAAAAAATATGGTGACCACACAATGGTAAATAAGAATGTTGAAGATGTTGTAAGCTTTCCCACTGATAAGCAACATCTTTCCAACTGGTTGCTATTGACGTGCAGCGACACCCAAAATTCTTCCCTGTCCACCTCCTCCTTTTCCTCCTTACACCAACAAAAAGAAAAACAACCAAGAAAACAAAGATTGAAATTTGAAGCTCTGCCGACCGCCTCCAACAGAGGAAGCCACTGCGTCACCGTCCACTTCGACCCGCACGAAGGCGCTTCAAAGGCGTTTTTACTCGGATCCAGTAGGTTAAGAAACGTTAGCCCATCTTGTGTGCTTAGCATCTTTAATTCTAAAGTTCACACCAAAACACTGTTTAGCGATTCCATTGTTTTCAATATTCGGATCGACGTTGATGATTCCAAGCGTGAAACAGCGACGAAGCAGACTGAATTGAAGAGAGTGAATGGAAATTTGGTCATCGTGTGTCCTTCCTCGTCAGCCAGAACGCTCGTTAAAATCTTTCTCGACGTGAACTTCAACTTGTTGAACATTCTGGATAAAACTGCGATTGTAAAAAGATTCAACAAGTTCGTATATGTGCCTATCAGTTCTTTAAACATATACACAATACTGAGGGAAACAATCGTGGAGGAGCGGCAGAAGACTCCCCCCTGCGGCCAGAACGCTTCCAACTTCAGCGTGAAGCCCTCCGAGACGGTCAAATCCAATGTGTTGACAGTCTTTGAATGGGAGGTTGGATGCGGCGTAGTCGATAGGGAGCATGTTTCTATCGTTAACTTTGTTTTTAAAACGATTGACAACGGAATTCTGAGTGAGAATATTAATGCGAGTGTTGTGGCGTACTGCGTTTCTAATGAAAATGAAACTAAAGCTAAAACTGACGAGCAAGTCGACTCAAATTTCTCACCCACGGAGTATACACCAATCATGGTGAATGATAAAAAAAGCGAAATGCCCCACTTATCGAGTCCCAAATATAACAGGGAGCATTCTGTTGAGAGTGCAGCAAGCAAGACACTCAAGAAAGACAATTACCTCAGTAGCCGCTGGCGTAATACAGATAACAACACATCGACACGTCAACCAATGTTAAATGCCTCTACCAATCAAGATAATGTTGTAAGGAAAAATTTTCAAGATAACACTAAACGGCATCCAACAATAACCACAAGAAGAATAAAAAATTCAACAAAAACTAAGGCGGAGAAAAAATTGGAAAACAACAGTGATGGTGGCGATGAAAATTCAAATTTCAAACATAGCGGTTCAAGTGAAAAAGAGCAGAGAAGATTAAACAGGGAAGAAATTGAAAGAAATCTGAAAGATAGTGATCCCTCGAAGACAACTGCTCCAGCAAGAGGTGGTGCTGAAACAACTAAACCTATCAAAAATGATGAAAATTTAGTTGGCTCTGCGGAAAATAAAACTAACTCAAATTTTGAGACGCAAGTGGTCTTGACAGAAAATGTTTCGAATACTTACCAAACCACAACGTCAAGTTTAGAAGTTGAAACATATGAGAAACCAATTAGAAACTACTCTCTTGTAACAACTCTACAGCAGGTTAGTGAACCTAACATGGTAGATAAAGAAAACAAAGCAAACAACGAAGACGATTATTTTAAATTCGATGAAAATTTGATGGGTGAAATTGATGAAAATGATGATTTTGATGTTGAAGAGCAAAATGGTTCCAACCTGTTTAATAATTATGACTACAATTATGAAGTCACCAACATCTTGAAGACCTTTCCAGACAGCAGCGAACTTGAAGGAGACGGGACCAACACAGCAAATGTATACGTGCTTCCAAACCCAGACAGACAGCCTACAAACTTCTACACAGATCCTCCCATTAAATCGAAAACAAAATTTCATGGCAAACCAAATTATCGGAATAGCAAAGACAGCTTCATTTTTAAATCTAATTTTACATATGAAACTGTATTCGGCATGGCGTTTGAGAAAAAAATCAATGAAAATATATTTCAACATGTGAACGATAAAACGATACGAAAATCAAAAATGATTTTGCTCATGTACGGAAATCGGGGTAGAAAAACCTTCAACGAAGACGACTACGCCATTGATATTGACGGTGATAATGCTGTTAACATTGCATCTAAGTCTAAGCAAGAATATGAAAACGTGATTGATGACAAAAGTTTTAAGATAGTTAAAGTCCCAAATGAGTCCTGGGTCAAATTAAATCAAACATCAAAATTATTGTACGGGTTCCCGTTAGAGGCAAATTTTGGCTTGCACAAATATATTTTGGCTTTAGTTAACGCCAAAGGAAAAAGACTTCACTATACAGAATTTTCGATAAACGTCGAAAGCAAGATTTTGTCTTACCCTTTGAACCACAAGTTTCAAATAACAATCGATGATTTAGACTACAAAACCGTATCAAATGACGTGTCCGTGAGAATTGGATTAGTTAAGAAAATAGCCAGAGCATTTGGAGACCGAAATGCAAGAAATGTCATGGTGGTCGAAATGTTCCCGGGATCGTTGATTCTGGGGTGGTTCAACTTGAGTTTAGTTAAAAGTGACTGTCCTATGGAGAAATTGAGACATCAGATTTCTACTGTTATGACGCAAAATAACATAAATCCTTACACAAACGAAAGTATTCTTGGATATTTTCCAACTGAAAATCTTCTTCGCTCTTTGAAACCGTACCAGCTTTCAAAAATCAATTTCATACCAAAAGGCTCTTGCAAAGACTATTTTCAATTTTCATTTTTCAATCCAGAAAATTACAGCATGAAAAAATCGAAACCTATTCCATGGATGCATGAAAATATCAGAATGTACAATGAGGTTGAAGACGGCAACCAGGGAGATACAAGTGTGACGGCCTTGCTCTACATCATGATCCCAATGGTGGTCGTCGCTGCATTGTTACTCTTGATATTACTCATTTGCGTTTGCTGTTACTTTTTGGGTTCTCAGAATAAATTTTGCTGCTGCTGCTGTGCTAAAAAACCAAAAGTGGAAGATAATAATTTTGAGAGAACATCTCAAAGAGGATCCGGATCCTTCAGAAAGAACCAGTTGAACGCTCCAAACAACAACAGCAACAAATGCGTTCCCATAATATTTTCTGATGAATTACATAACTCTGGAGAGAAAAGTAACTCGGCTTTTAAAAGAAAAGGTCAAAAACCAGTTTTGGCGGATCAAATTTCATCCAGGACGCCGCCGCCGACTTATGCTCACGCCATCAACACTTTCAACGAGCCAAGCTTCAACTCCACGTTGAATACTCATCATACAAACAATCGCTACCCATTTCCAGCTCATTCAAACTCAATCCTTGATCGTTCGTTTTGTGCTCATTCGAGCGGAGATAACAACCAAAATGGAAGTAATGGTAGTTTTTTGGGTGAACGATTTTCTGGGACTGAGAACCAGAACGAAGTAACCGTTAATAGAGACAGCCACCTAGGACCTCAGACGCCTGCTCTACAGGGTTGGCATGAGCTGAACGGACCAACGGGCCAGCAAGCCTATTATGCCGACAACGGAATGACGAACAATCAACTTCAAGACCTACTTAATGAATATACCAGGTGAACATTTCAAAGAAAGTGGATGAAAAACAGAATCGGATATTTTTCTCCTGAAAAGATATTTGACGCAAAAAAGCAAAAAATCCGACAACCTTATTTTAATATGAATGTTAAAGATGTTATTAATTTGTATTGCTAATCTTGGTGTAAATTTTGACACAGTGCTTCAATTGAAAATTAAAGATGTTATTAATTTGTATTGCTAATCTTGGTGTAAATTTTGACACAGTGCTTCAATTGAAAATTTTCTACAATTTTTTTGTTCAATAAAATGTGAATTATTTCTTTATTTTATTTGTTGCCAAGAAATGCTGCTTAACTAGAAAACATTTTTAAATGACTATCTTATGTGATCAGGTGGCCTTTTAAGCCTTTCATACAGTGCCTTTGTTAATTACATGCTGAATAAAACTACAACATCTGCCCGATATTTGAACCTACACGTACACAAACAGACTAAAAATAATTACATATCCACATTGAAAGTACAACAAATCTTCACCGCTGTTGTTGTGTTATGATTATAAGCATGCCTTCTTCAATCAAAGAATAACTTGCTAGGGCGATGATTCATCGTTATGTTAACAATGCTCTAAAGAAAACAACCACGCCGCGAAGATGCACCAGCTAACAAATCCAGATTTCAACTTACCCTGTCTGTATATAAATTTATAGTTCAGTATCATCGGTGCATAATTAATAATAATTATAATTGCAATATTAATTATAACAATGATAATAATTTAAATATTAACTTAAGTGATGGGTGCAGAAGTATGTTGTTGCATACATAGGGGTCTATCTACAAGAATTAATTTCGTTGTTCTATCTGTATTTGTCGTTAATGATAATATATATTGTTGAGATATATAGAGTTTAAAGTTGTTTTTTAATTTGTTTCTTTGTACATACTTCAAAATTATTAATTATCTAATTAATTAATCAATCAATTATTAATTAAGTACATATTTATATTTTTATATGTAATAAATATTCAAAAAATCGGGTTCATGTTATTCATTTTATTAAAAATCAATAACATCAAATATTTTTTTAAAAATGTCTATATTTATAAGACATTCACTAGTTTTTAAAACAAGAACATTGAAATATAAATCTAAAATATAGTTATTCGCAAACTGATTATCTACAAATTATCACACGAATGTATAATGCTTAAACTCTAGACCAAAAATTTGTACTATCTCAATGGAACAGCAATAATTACTAATAAAACAGTAATTATTACTTTGGTAAAGCAGTAACTTCTACCATAAAAAATGTAAGTAATCATCCTTAATACTACCCGTGACTGTGACGTGTTTACAACTAAATCTCAGATGTTACTGTACATCCGTCAAAGAGTGATGAAGTTAAAAATGGAAATTGTAAAGAAAAAAAAATTGTCCACACAATTTAAACAAATAAATTAGTTACGTTATTTATGCTTCAAGTGGCAAAGCCCTACATGCCCCTAGACCATTCCCCTAAATCTTCTCTCTTGGATAGATGCCAACAACAAATAAGCAGATAAAAATACAACACACGTTTAAGCTATTTTTAATAATTTATGCCTAATTGAAAGAAAATATAATTGAAACACATTTACAATTGAAAAAGGCATTTTTATCATTACTTTGATATAAGCAATGGGCATAATGTTATCTCAATAGTTATACACACGTAATATAATAGGATTAAGTATTAAAATTTAAAACATAATTGCCATCTAGCTAAGATGTTAAAAGTAAATTTATAAAAAATTTGCCACAGATGTATGTTTGATCCAAGTTTACTTTTAAGATATGTTAATTTATGTTAATTTATGATTGAAATGTATGTGATCAATAACAGGCTTATGAAGTTTATGTTTATAAAATGTTTATGAGGTTAATATGTAGCATGAATGTTAATATGTTAATGCATATGTTTAATATGTTAATTCACGTTTAATATATGTTCAATTATGTTTGATATATGTAAATTTAAATATAATATATGGTAATTTACGTATAATATATGGTAATTTATGTTTTATATATGATAATTCATGTTTAATATATGTTAAGATATGTTTAATATATGTTAAGTTATTTTTAATTTATGTCAAATTATGTTTATTATATGTTAATTTATGCTTAACATATAGTAATTTATATTTAATATATGGTAATTTATGTTTATTACTTGTTAAATTATGTTTATTAGATGTTAATTTATGTTTAATGTATGATAATTTATGTTTAATATAAGGTAATATGTGTTAATTCATGTTAAATTCGGGGTGAAAAATCCGGAGAAAGAAAATATTAGTGTGAGTGTTTTCCGCAGACCCATTTGACGGAGGGTGACGCTATTTTAAGGGGGAGAATTCTGTCACCAACGTTCAAATTGGTGCACTGGCAGGCATACGCTCTACTGCCTGGTTGGATGGATGGATAGATGGATGGATGGATGGTATAATGAATAGATGAATAAATTGATTGGTGGATAGATGGATGGATTGATAGATGAATTGATTGATAGATTAACAGATAATGAATAAATCATTGCAACAAGCATATAATTCAAATTCTGATAAATTTTTGAAAATCGATAAACTAAATAGACACCTAGCGATTTTTTAAGCTTATTCTTGATCCTATTGAAGTCTGGCATGTTGTTCCTTAGAAATAAATAACCGACCTCCTCGAGCCAGGCCATGTCGTCAAATGAAGAAACATTGAAGTCACAAGTTGTACATCTGAGGTTGTCGCACGGTCTGTGGGAGTTTGTTGCGATTGGTTGATGGTTTAGTATTTAGTAGGTGGTCTGTGATTGGTTGATAGTTTGGTATTTAGTAGGTGGTCTGTGATTGGTTGATAGTTTGGTAGATGGTTGTCTGAATGAAAATAAATTGCATTATTAAAATAATTAATAAGCAAAGCAACAGAAAAACAAACAAATACTTTGGCAATAGGAATGAAGAGGAACCTTTGCTGAAATTGCTGCCTCCAACATGAGCTTCTACGCAACTACATTCATTCGTTCATTCATTCATTCTCATTCATCCATTCGTTTGTTCATACATTCATTTATTTGTTCGTTCGTTCGTTCATTTACTCATTCATTCACTCATTTCTTCATTCATTCATTTATCATTCAATCATTATTTTATATAATAGTTTCAAATTTGAATCATAATTAAAAAAGTTATTTTTACAATCGCTTGAAAAAACACCCACGGTGATGGCGAAAGTGTTGACACTCAAATTTGACCTTTAACCCCTAACCCATGACATTGAACTGACCTGATTTTTAGAGAGCCGTGGTGGTGCCTGTTGTAGTTGTAGGAATGGTGGAGGGTCTTCTCGGCGGTGCTGTGCCTCCTGGCGTGGTCATGGTCATCAGTGGCTGGTCCGTCGTTCAAAATGTCTTCAAAGTCGTAGCTGCTGATGAAATTAAATGAAATTCAGTTTTGCCATTTACGCGTTTAGCTAAACCGTAAAAGAAAGCATCACACAAGAATGGCGTTTGAATAAGCAAAAAAATGTTTGCCAAAAAAGCTAGTAGAAGCCTGAAACAAGTCGCCCTTATCAACAATTTAAATCGTTTTAAAAAAAAGATGATCAATTGTTTTTGGAGGGACATGAACATCTCTGTATGGTTGTTAGACTGGAATCTTTTTGCACTTGAAACCGGCGTCACTGGATCAATCACTTTCAGCCATTACTGCATCGAAGAACAGAAAATGTTCTTTATTGGTATTGCTGGCAATATTTTCAAAAATGAGTATCAGCAATTCGATACCGATGCCGACAATAATCGATACAATTTTTGAGTAGGTAATGTTTACCATAGATAGAAAAATACATGATAAAATGCGTAACATAATTTTTAATTGCAACATAGATGTAAAAATTGTGTCGTGACTAGATTGTTCTGACACTTGCACTGTTGTGTCATGGATTGATCCTCCATTCATTGTATTTAATTAAGTTAAACACAATCACTGTGTGTGTGTATTGAATCAGATAGTGTATTTTTATCTGTATCCGTATCTGTTGTTGATACCTCCAATATGTAAAACATAATTGATACAATGTTATCATTTATTTGTATTATAATATCACCTCAAACTATTTCGGAACTTCTTCTCGTCTCTTCTTTCATTCTGATTCTTCTTAGCAGACGAATCAGAATCGAAACTTTTATTTTTATGATCAAGTTTCTGTTCGATTTTATTTAACAACTCTTCAAACTCATCGTCATCCGCCATTTTTAGGGAAATAAAATGGAACAAACACGAAAGTGGCTTTGTGGAACCGCATAAATAATAAAAATTATGAATAATATAATGAAAAATATGATAAATAATAATATTAAAATGATTTAACAACACGAAGAAAACATTTTTCGTTTGTTTACATAATCGCCATGGTGACGAACAGATGTTGTTGGTTGCAACTAAAAGGCAAAATTATTATAAGCCGCATTTTGGCACGAAAATTTAATTGTACGACGAGGCGTTTGTATATATATATATATATATATATATATATATATATATATATATATATATATATAGAATATATTCAATATTTTACATGTTATATTCTATATATGTTATTGTATATAATTATTAAAAATGAGATTGCTAGGTTCAATTTAACAAAAAATTAACAAACTAACTTAGCTGATATGCTAATATTGAATAATTACAGATGAGAAATTTTGCCCTCAATTGACAAAAATTGTGGAAGTACTTTAAATATAAAAATATGGTTTTTCAACGCTCTCCTCAAACTCTAACTGCAATTATAATTTCTTGGAGTGTTGGGAGGTAAAAATTCATTTGCATGCTCCATTTAAATCAATCAGCCGGCTTCAAATGCGTTTATTTAGGTTTGTGTTTGCACATGTTGTCGAGTTTGAATAATTGAATGTGTATGTGTGTGTGCGTGTATGTATGTGTGTGTGTGCGTGTATGTATGTGTGTGTGTGTGTGTGTGTGTGTGTGTGTGTATTCAAAGTTTTTTTAAATATAAGTTCGTATTAACGAATTAAAAAATGCCTATTCTTTATGTTTGTATTAAAAGTTTTTAAATTTAAGTTCGTAAATGCCTATTATTTATCTATAACAAATAAATTCAAAAGTTTCAAGTACATGTTTGAACGCACGGGTGCATGCCTGTTTGTCTTTCTACAGTATAAATCTTTCTTTAATTTTTTTTGTGATTTTAAAAATTTAGTTCAAACGAATGTACATCAGCTTGTGTTCATTAATGAGGCATCGACTACTCCTACATAGGTAGGTGCCAATCAGTTCAAGTTGCCTGAAGTGGGATGACTAATCATTGGTAAATTAAAAAATCTATAAAAGAACTTTTCAAAATTTGTATTAAAATATGAAAAAAACACAAATCATTTTACAGATCTGAAGGTTCTAATTAGTGAAAAATATGTTTGAAGTTTAGTTTGAACGTTTTGGAAAATCACTTCCTAACTAAATGATTCGTTAGTGTATAAGTTACGTTACAGTAATCAAACATTTTATTATTCAATTGCGCTTATAGGACGCTGGATTTGTCCATCTGAATTTAGGATCATACCTAAAAGCCTAAAAGAAGCGATACTGGCGTTTCTATGTTCATAAATTGTTTTTTATTCAGCTATAACGAAACTTTACCTACTCTAGAATTCAAAAACGGTTGTCACGCGATAACAACATCCCAAAACATGGGCATTTCTATCGTCTGCCTGAACAAACTTGCCAAATTGTGTAATTAAATGTAATCACATGACGAAACAAGCTACCCTGGTTGAGAACTGATCACTTGTCATT